TCGTACTGGCCACCTACACGCGACGCCTTTTAAAAATGCGTGTAAATAAAAAACAAAAGACGGTACAGACAATGTAAGTGTGCAGTCACGACTTTCGGCGGTGTTCGATTTTTAAAATAGTAATTAAGCTAGAGCGTTATGTAAATAGCATTTCCTTAAGATGTTAATGTGAATTTTAAAATATCGTTTTGTTTGCTTGTTTGCTTGCGCGAGGAGATTAGTCAGCTAGCAGTAGTTGTGTAAAAATGTTTAATGTTAAATTTCAAACAGTTATGGTTACGTAGTTATATTGTATATATAGTTAACGTGTTATGATGTGAAGTGAGTGTCTATTGTGTAAAGTGGTTGCAGGATTAGCATCGCTCGTCCAATAAGTCACGTTGACTGCGCAGTTGACCATCGATGAAGAAGTGATCCGAGCGTCGAGTTGGTAAGTCATTACATTGTATTTATAATAATTTACAGGATTATACGTAAATTAGTGAACTGTAGGCGGCATATCGCGTAATGTTCAGAACATTTAGTCCATACATATTTAGTAGTACATGTCTTATGAAAGAAGTTAAGTCTTTATACTGCGTCATGTTGCTTACAGTCTCAGGTACAGTTGAATTGACTTCCTATTCAGATTTAAATATGATACAGCGAATGCCATATAAAGAGCTTTGATATTGCAGTGTATGTATGTGTTGAAAATAATTAATACGACCTATTTGTATTTAAAATGACATGAATGACAGTTAGAAAATTAACTTTAAGACCTTAAATTATAATGCGCACACTATAAGCTTTAAAGCACATTTAAGAAACTTTTCCTTAAATACTCTTTTTAGCGAATGTACCGACCTGGACTGTACATGGATTCTAACTATATTAGCTGTTTAATGATGTTTAATATTTAATAAATAATTATATTTGTATACTATATAGATTAAATAAAAAAAAAATAGTTTAGTTTAATGAGAAGCTTACAAAAATTAATTGCTACATTTGCTGAACGACGTTCACACCGCACGGGCTTCCCGTTGGGAGCGTTGCGGAATTTATTCAACTACCCTCAGCTCGCTTTAACCATCTACATTGCCGACGGCACATTTGATGCGCACATTACGCCACGTTTACTTAGCATATGCCATTACAATATACAAATCGTTCTGACAAAATTAGCCTCGTTTATTACAAAATATTTGTCCTTGAACAAACCTAATCTAAAAAAAAATCCACCCATTAATATTGCTCGTAGTATACTAAACATTTTATTAAAGATAGCGACTTAATTTAGGTGATACTATTGAACTAAGGAAGATAAAATTTATATAGAACGGTTTGCAGTTACATATTATTTGGTTGCGAGGTATGAGAAATGCATTTAACATAAGGATAAAATGATTGCTAAAAAAAAAACTCTTGTCCTTTTATTCGATCTCCATTGTCAACAAATTATCCAATAAAATTTCTATACTTTCTAGCATAAAAAATCATCCCGACGCTTCATTTGAAACATCATTTTTAAAGAAAACCTGAAAATACACCTCGATTACATTTTGCGATAAAAGAGGAAACCTTAATTAAGCTAACGAGGCCGTGACTAAAAATGCCAGGTCAAATGCACTGTGCATTGGCGTAATTACTAACAACTTCCAAGGACGTATAAAGGTCAACGTAAACATCTATGTAACTTGAACCTTTTTGCTTCTTTCAATAGAACTCTTATGCGTTTACCTCTTAAAAATGGAAGAACTAGTTGCATTTACGAATTTACGGCTTCCTCGTTGATTTCAAATATTATGAGTACCGTGGATTTCTGAGACCAAATCGCCTTGAAGAGGTGCGTTTTATTTAACTTACTAATATTATAAATGTGAATGTTTAGATGTATGTGATGTGATGTGGATGGATGGATGGGTGGGCTACCCTAATTAAGTTTTTCTACATATCCACGGGGACGGAGTCGCGGGCGACAACTAGTATTGTATATTAATTGATTGTTTAAAATAATAATATACACAATATATAAATTGTGTAAATAACTGCTTTCTATATTCTTTCAAAAAGATAAAAATTCATTTTATTCTTACCGTGTACTTGCGAAATGGTATTTAGTCATTTCTGCTTGACCCCCTACGTTATGAGCGTGAGTGTTATATAAGTTTTTTCGTTTTGTAGAAAGCTACTTATTATTGCACAAGGGTGATCGTATTCTATATTCTGAATCGTAAATTAGATCGAATAAATGATGAAAAGTTTGTACGTCGGCAATCTAAGATTTGCAATGCAAATGTAAAAGCGGAAGCTTTGATTACTTCCTCGAAACGGTAAAATGGAGATCGAAATATGTGTGAACATCCTCTTAAAAACAGGAATTATGCGCTCAATTTAATAGTAAAATATTATAGATATTATAATGTTGAAATTTTGAATAGTGATTTAGATTTTTGTGAAAAAAAAGCACAAATTAACCTGCTTACTTTGAAATAAAATTACTTTAACATTGCAACTAAATTCAGATAGGTTTTTAAAAGTTTGTTGTACTTTCATCAACATTTTCTTGTTCCTTTTTTTTTAAGTTAAGCAACGCAATTACAAGTTGGAATTATTTTATGTTACATTCCAGTAAAGAAGCGCTTTAACTCAATTTTCAAATAGAAAGACATAATATAATACGTTGTACGTGCGTGCCGCGATATGATCATATCCAATAATAAGTTCCAGATACAGTTCGTTCAGAAACTGTCGGGACAATCTATTGCGACTGTCAATCAACTGTCCAAGCGTAACAAATTGGTTCGAAGGAATTTATGATATAAAATCATTTTCAAAAATATTTTATTGTTTTAATTTTTAATTTATATAGAGCGTCGGTGGTTCAGGGGTCAAGCAGGTCGTGGGTTTGAATCCCGCCATGTACCAATGTGTTTTTCGATTTCTAATTTACATATGTACAATTTATCCGACGTTCTTAAGGTGAAGGAAAACATGGTGATGCAACCTGTACATATCTGAGAATAAATTCAAAGATATGTGTGAAGTCAACCAACCCGCTCTTGCCCAGCGTGGTTGACTATGGCCTAGTCACCCCTAATTTAGGGTAGGCTCCGAGCCCCTCGGTGGAGACTTATAGTGAGCTGATGATGTATGTATATAATTTAAGTCTTCTTTTCATATGATTATTATGTATAGATACAAAATCGTACGTCGTTGTCTTCTTATAAATGTTCACATATAAATCGAAAAACTCATTGTTATCATCCTGGGATTCCAACCCATTACCTGATTACAAGTCAAGTGATTAACCCCTGAGCCACCGACGTTCTTTTCTTATTTTTAAAACGCGAGTGGTAAATTATGGTTTCATATTAAACAAAAATACCTTTTCTTATTTAAGATTCAACAAGGTAATAATTCAGGGATTGATTAATTTCTTTTGACTTTCTAAAAGTAATTTATCTTTGCCGCTAAAGCCTACTTAAACATTTAATCTGACCCAAAAAATATCTATTGAACCGGAGCCGTTAAAAGAAAGTCACCTTACACTTTCTTTTCAGACCCTTACGATAAATTAGACGTATTTTTAGCATTCCTTATATAGAGTAGATTAGGTAGGTGTCGAAAATGATGTACAAATATTATATAATAAGTACTGAAAATATATTATAGTAAGTGAGAAATTATAAAATACTCTTTTTACCTTGTCATAGCATCACGAAAGGATGAAACAATTTAGTTTATTCTTTTTTATTGCATTTATTGTTGTCAGAAGAAGGTTGTTATTAAAAAAAATAAGAGGAAGTTGAACGATACATTAGTAAATTGAAGATAATTCAATATTCATAGTTAAGACAGGATAACGTTTTTCAGGTCAGCTAGTCGCCTATAGATTATCTTATAGATGTAAATATTTTTCTTGGATTAATTGGATAGGAGTTTGATATTCAAAAGTAACTAAAGCCTACCACATCGATGCCACATCTAGGTGAATTGCTCCGTATTATACCGAAGGTAACATTGGATCGACTGTAGCTAGAAAATAGTATAATGCGTTCGTTTTCATCTTCGTCGTTACTTTGTTTTTTTATAATTAGTTTAACAAGGCCCAAATTAGGAATTGAATGATAAAAATATAGGTCATGATAGGAAAAAAAATATCTTAGGATAATGTATTTAGCTTTTTATATTGTTTCGCCGTCGCCCGCAACTCCGTTCGCACGGAATTAAAAAAAAAGACATCATTAGTAGCCTATGTGTTCTTACAGACTATGTTCAATATGTATGCCAAATTTCATCGACAACCGTTCAGCCGTTCTGGACAAACATCCATTCGCATTTATAATTTCAGTAGGTATTTTTTTTTAAACAATGAAACGATCTGTTCTAGATTTTTCTTTATTTATTAACAAATTCATTCAATTTTACATTAATAATACATATCATTGACATCGGAAAATCGATTAATTATTATTATATTTTATAGTTGTTTAATTTTGTTGTATTTACAATTCGTTTTTTGGAGAAAATTCACATATTGATTACATATTATGAAATTATCTTATAAATTTTTAAATGTTGGCAATACGATTAAATTCATTTCCATTTTCTCACATTATGTACAAGATATATTATTTAAATATACAGTTATTATGTCTCTAACATATAGCCTTACACATAAGAAATAATACTTAAATAAACCGCGTTGTTTGTTTTTTCACTTATTTAACTTAATGGAAAAAATTAATAACTTATGACTAAAGACATTATTTTTATATTAAACGAAACTATAATTTTAAATCTAGTAAATTTTCAATAACTTCTTGGTCCATTTTGTTAAAAATTTATATCGTTATAACGAAATAAAAATTATCTTATTAGTTAAATAAAAAAAATCACAAATGTTTTTATAGAACGAGAATATTTTATTATTCAAAATATACAATGTTATAATATTTATTTAATACCGCATTCAGATTACATAATAAAAGTTTTTTTTAATTATCCAAGAACTCTTAATATAATCTGTACATATAACTTATATTAAGTTACAAAATAACAATACTAACGACAATATCGGTCTATTATAAACTTGCCAGTAACTTGAACCTTTATTCCATGTATCATGATGAACAGCAGCTTGATTTTCTCCTGTAAGAAATATAGTTTTTTTTTAATTAAATTCATAATAAAAACTCCTTAATATTACCTCAACAAGTAGACATTCTATTGTACCGAAACGTTTATAATTACATCGTAAATTAAAAAAAACAAAAGTTTTTTTTTACAAATGCAAACACGTCTTTCTCAGCAATCTTTACTAAGACTTAATTCGTAAGACTAATAGTAATCTAATCTAGATTTAATATCACCTCAATATTATTGTACACAAGATCTATTAAAAAAAACAATGTTGACGAAAAATACGTCCGAAATTCACGTAGTAACAACGCAACGTCGAAAAGGTATAAATAATAAATTAACAGAAATAATTAATAGACAACGCTATAAATGTATGTAACATGGTAACCAGGCGTGACGAACATGAAAATTATCCTTAACATATGATAATTAGTGCGAACTTTATTTAATGTATATTACTTGATATAAGACCTCATTTCCTTTGAACTTTGTAACTAGTTAATAAATATTATACAGCTAATTTAAAAAGAACCAACACATTAAAGCTAAACATCGCTACTGATTTGGATCATAAAAATATAACAAGGGCAAGTATAATTTAAAATCAAATAATATTAATAATATGCAGATTATATTTCTTAATTAGGCTTGGAGCCTACCCTAGGACAGGGCAGACTATGCTATAATCAACCGCGCTGGCCCAGCGCGTGTTGGTTAACTTTACATCTTTGAATTTCAGAAATGTGCAGGTTGCATCACGATGTTTTCCTTCAACGTAAAAACGTTGGATACATGTACATATGTAAATTGATAATTGAAAAACAAATTGGTATATGGCGGGATTCGAACCAAGGTCCAACAGATTGCAAGTCAAATAACCCCTGAGCCACCGACGCTCTTTTGATGATTATTACACTTAGAAAAACTATATACTCGTATAACAGGGCCACATTTGTAGGTTACATTTGACATCTATCAATTTTAACTTCATAATGACCTGCTTAAAACATCAATTAAATTCAAGTAATCGATACACACTTCAAACATACATCGAATAGAATTCAGTTGATATGAAACATCCATGTTTGTCGTTCGTTTTTTTGTACCATAAGTATGTTTAAAAAGAAAAATATTTCACAGACACAACATTGTAAAGACGTTCTATTGTAATAAACGTTCGATCGATTGAGTTGTAAAATGGCCCAGCTATATTAAAGAAATAGCTGTCGCCCGCGACTCTGTCCACGCGAAATTAAAAATACATAATTAGCAGTCTGTGCATTCTTCCAGTGTATGCTCTATATGTACGCCAAATTTGATCGAGATCTGTTCAGCCGCTCTGAACATAAATTCAAACAAACATCCATTCATCTAAACATTCGCATTAAAAATATTAGTAAGATAGAAAACGAATGGAATAGAACACTTTAAAAGATAATCTCACCTATCAGGACATGAACGATTGTAGTAACTTGTGAATGATTTCTCAATTGGCACGTGTAGATTCCATTATCTTCTTGTGAAGCAGACGCGATGTTTATTGTAGCACTGTAATAAAATAACAATTAAATAATAGTATCGAAACCATTTAACCTTTACTGAAATACAATATCATTGTGCTATTTAAATACAGTTGTTGGAGTACGTTTACAAACATTATTATTTTGAAACTAGAACTTTACAATGGGATACAATTGGGTTAATTCCCAACGGTAACGCGTGGGGTATTGTAGAAATTATAGTAACTTGTATAAATATTTTATTTTAATGTTTGTGAAGAATGGCCATTGACATATCTATTATTTAAATATTTATTAACCTGCCCTTGTCTCTACGGAGGGTCGGCACAGTATGACTTTCTCCATACATCTCTATCAGCTTCATATCTGAATTCACCTCCTCACTCAGATCCTCTTTCAAACAATCCATCCATACTTTCTTTGGCCCTTCTCTACCTTTGTAATAGTTAATAATCTTTTACTGCGCCACGCACAATCAATATTTTTATTTATAGTTACTATAGAACTAGCTGTCGCCCGCGACTCCGTCCGCGTGGAATTAAAAAAAACTTAATTAGTAGCCTATGTATTCTTCAAGACTATGTTCTATATGTATGCCAAATTTAATCAAGATCCGTTCAACCGTGGATTTACCTTCAAACATCCAAACATTCGCGTTTATAATATTAGTATAATAGTGAGATTTTAAATTCAAATACTTGCCTGATGTTACGCCATGTTATATTATCATTGAAAAGTTTTCCTTGCTTCTTCCATAATATTCCATAAACATTGTTCATTACATCAGGTGATTTGGATGTGGCTGTTGTTGTTTTTTCAATTTCTGGTGATGTTTTTCTAGTTGTACTTATACTAACTGTTGAAGTAATTGTAGTAGTTGCAATACTCCAACTTCTATTTAACATTATTTCTAAACTATTGAATACTGTGCTCATTTTAGTTGTTAATTCAGTTGTTGTAGTCATAGGTGTTGTTGTTACGGTTGTTGGTGCTTCAGATGTTTTTATAGATGTAGATAATATATATTTCTCTGATATCGCACAAGATAATTTTATAGAACTACCCGCTTTATAAAATCTATCTTTAACAACGTGCAATTTATCCCCATTTATAGTTAAAACGGGAGCTGAAAATTAAATAGAAATTTTAATTCAAACTTTATTACAATAGTTATTCCAAAAACATTATATAAGTTGATTCCAGTCTTCGGTAAATATTTGTTCAAATTTTATTATGTAGGTTCTCAAACATTACAAATTGGTACGAATGCATCAGACTAAAAAGTTAGACAAATATATAAAATTTGACTACAAGTTTGATAATTTTTTGGGCTTAATATTAAAAGTGTTGATCGATTTTTTTTCATACTATAAACATATGTTAGTAATTTAAAGACTTATACTACAGTAAAGGAATAAAATGACCGAAGCATTTATAGCTACGCTAGTTGTCGCCCGCTACACCGTCTGCACGAAATTGAAAATAAATAAATATTTAGTAGCCTTTGTCTTCCACGATATCTTCTACATCTATGCTTAATTTCAGCGAGATCCATTTAGTTCTACAGATACCTTCTAACAAAGATCCCTCCTTCCATCTATTCATCCATCCAAACATTCGTATTCCCAATTATATTAAGAAGTAAGCTTATACTTACGTAAAACAGTCAAGTTTGAATAAATAGTCCTAGGTGGATGCGTTGATATTTGGCACATGTATAGACCTTCGTCTGACGTCTTCACAGGGTTAATACTAATTCTCCAATTGTTTGGATATTGAAATTTGACAGTAATTCTACTATCACCGGCATGCGCTTCTCTCCCGACTGTTAATAATTGTGCCACGTCACTTGTGTTTCGTAGCCACATTACCTAAATTAAAAGAATTTAAAATCGTTTGTTTGTAAAATAAAAAAAAATTGTGCTTCCAACCATTCAGCCCTTGTTTTATCGCTCTGTTTACGCGAGTTGTGTGAAAGCGATTGATAATCATACACAATGTAATTGCATTGTTTAACTGTGGGCTTCTGAGACCCAAAAAAACCCGTTAAAAACTAAAGGTAAATAAATTTAATATGTTTAAAGATGTTAAAATTTAAATACATCTTTTTTCTTTTAAATAATCTAGCGCTTGAACGCGATCAAAATTGCATAACTACATTGTAACTAAATTTAAGATCGATTTTCAATCAATTGATTGAATTATAAAAAGTATTTTCAGTAAAAACTATACGTATTCAACTATATCTTACTAGGATGTCATAAAAACATTATCACATTCCAGACTAAACATTTTTACGAATTTGATGATAAAAAAGTAATTTACCGTTTTATCTTTGAGCATGACGACACGACAATTTAACAAAGCTTCCGATCCAACGTGCGCCTCCTTTTGTGTGACATTACTCTCCTCAAAGTACGGCCCCCAATGCTGCTCGTAATGGTGATAGCCTTGATAAGGAGCAAAATTGCGCTGCTCATTTGTTTTTACTGAAATAACAAATCATTTTAATGTTCTATTTACTTGAATGAACTGATGTGCATCGCATAACTTGGACCTCGTATCAAATTTAACTTAAATATATGTCAACCCTTTTATCGCACGCTGATAAAACATTATTGGAAATCATAATTTTTAAATTATGCTTTCGAAATGCGATCTTGACAAACAGTAAGGTAATTATACAGTAAGCAGTTTTTTGATGCATATTTAAGGATAAAACCTGCGTTTTATAACCATGTTGTCATCCATAAATCAGCGGCTGTCAAAAGGTTAAAATATTCTTTAAGTAAACAACGTATAAGTGATTCTTTGGAGTGATACGGTTTACGTTTTAATATGAGTCGCTTAGTTTACTGAGAGAATTCACCATAAAACAATTCTGAATTAACACGGTTCAATTGTGCGGATGAAATTTCAAGAACAGCGCAAACAATATTATTATAGTAATTTAATAATTAAGTTAATACCTTTCATCTTTTGATTATCATTAGTGATGACGTCACTATTGAAATTTTCACGCAATTTCTTTGTGATATTCCTGAATATTTCTCTTGAAATAGCAAGGCCATCTTTTTTGTTATTTCTATAGTCGCTAATTTGGTTATCTGTTATGTTTATTTCAATTTGCTGTGTGTCTAAAACAAAGCCTATTGTTAGATCTTAGTCGTAGAAACAAATTTAATATCAAAGTACTTTGAACACACGATTTAACTCTGTTATACAAAGCCAATAGTGTGTTACATAATTGTGTCTTATCGTGTAAAGAATAAAGTTCAAACTCACCTGTAACAGATTGCACGCAGCAAATGATTAAACACACCAAATTGAAGCTACAACCCTGCATGTTAGATGGCACATAACAATCTTTATGCCATCATTTCTTACATATGTTGGTATTACTTCAATGCCAACTTGAAGGAATATTTCCAGTGAAACTATTAAATGTGTAATAGATAAAAGTCCGTGGCATATTTTTAATGTTGACCTAAAGACAAGAGAAATATGTGTTAGCTTCAATTTGGAAAAAAAAATTAAAAAACTAGCGAATATCTGGCAGATTTCCATACTGAAATAGATTGCTGCCAGAAATTCAAGTACAAAATATCTCCAAGTGATCAGTACGGACTATCGATCGATCTGACAGATAATTAGAATTTAATGGATGAAATGTTGTACCTAAAGTTCTGACCGCATAGAGTCGTATTTCGTGAAGAAGTATAACTTTAGAACTGGAAGTCGAATTGTTTAGATATTGACCGCTTTCATAAGAGGAATCTATCTCAAAATAAAATAAAAACTTATTAGTTTTTCAGAACAGAGAACTCAAATTATAACATTAAAATTAATAAATTATATTTGAAGAAAACTTATGTAAATATAAAGATTATAAAAAAATATTGGTTAAACTTACAAAATTAATTAATAGAAATAAATTATAACAAAAAATCTATTTTTTTATTATATTACGTAACCTGACAATAGCTTCGCATTTAAATGAGTTCAATCAGCCCTTAAAAAAATTATTTTGTTCCTTTTTTAAATATTAACACTTCGTAATATAATTACAGGCTTTTTCAGTCTTACTAAGACAAACCTCTTTGTTGGACCACGTTGTCTAATTATTGTATAACTGGATTACAACGCTTAAAACACTTGACAAAGCTCTGCACAAGAATATTTCTAATTAAAGCTCAAAGCGAATGTTTTTCCGAGTCATAAAGTGTACGGTACGTTGATTAAATTTCATTGTTGCATGTGCACGGCTATGGGCTTTTAGTGAGAAGCGGCAACTCGCTTTGAAGTGATTTTTAAAAGAAAACAATTTACAACAAAATCATGAAATTATTAACGCCCAAGTTACCAGTAAAACATAGCTTCATTGCTTTTTAGAGACATCTAAATACCTCATTTATTAGATTCATAATTGTTTTACTCATAAGTACCAGCTGTCGCCTCGAGGGAATTCGAAAAAAGACCTTTTATCAGTAGCCCATGTGTTCTTTCAGACTATGTTCTACATCTGTGCAAAATTTCATCAAGATCCGTTAAGCTGTTCCGAAGATACTTTCAAACAAACATCCATCCATCTAAACTTAAGTATTTATAATATTAATTCGATTAAAAAAAGGATTCAAATATTTTTAGCAATAGTAAGTCCTTAATGTTAGGGCTTAGTTGGTGACGCCATTTTGCTTCTAGGAATCGTAAGCCTCACTTAATAGTTTCGAACATAAAAGTGGCTTAAAACTTTTATATGTCACCTCATTATGTCGCAATATTGGACTAATACTACGTATTAACTAGGTTTTACAAATACAAATGTTTTTAAGTTACACATAATCATCATCAGCTCACTATACGTCCCCACCGAGGGGCTCAGAGCCTACCCTACGTTACATATAAAGCGTAATATTTATTTTTTCAAATTAATTATCAAATAAACTGCAGTGGAACAATACTTTTCGAACAGACACTTTGTCTTTTAATTAAGCTACATATCATTCATTTCATTATATCGTATTTTTTAATATCATAGATTTATTAATTTTGTTAAGTTTCTATTGTCATTTTATTATTAATATTACAAATTTGCGGTGAAAATTGTTACAAGCTTTCAAACTGTCTAATTACGTTAATAGAGTCGTGGTTGTCCAAAATCAACTGTTTGTCATAACTAACCAGTAATCATTTACACAACTAACGAACTCTCAACACTTTAATTTGATTCCCTTGTTAATTACAATTAAATGTTTGTTGACAATCAAACGTTTGGTTGTCATTTGTTTATCGAATTTCACAATTTAAATGTTATTTAAAACGTATGACCACTTATTTGTTCGTTACTCAAATTATTAAAGAATCTAGCTAACGCCCTGGACTTCTGGATTTAAAAAAAACAGCCTTTAATTTCTGCGTGCATCATCTACGTTCTCTTGAAAGTCTTGTCAAAATTGGTCCAACCGGTTCTTAGATTACCTGGAAAAAAGCGGCCTTGCAGACAGATAGTCAAACAAAAAATATAAAAATTAGTTTGTATTACTGTTTTTTCGTCATTACATACAGACACTTCACAATTATTAATATAGTAGATATCAAGTTACAATATTACAATGTCCTACTTAACTTACAAATATTTAAAGTTTTAAGAAATTCAGAAATTGTCGTAAAAAGTAATCTAATTTTACTAAAATTAAACGACGTTTTAGAAAATGAAGATAGTAATAAATAAAATAGGGCTTAACCCAAATAAGATTGAAACTACTAACTCAGAAATATTCAATGCCCCATCTCATTTCTGTGCGTACAGTGAATGACGATTCGAATACCTTCGTTTGATAATGATGACATGTTAGAGTAGGGCGAAAACAAAGGAACATCGGCAGTACGTCACATCGATTCTCATAATGAACTATTACATTGAAACGGACATAAAACGTATGTATTGTTAGTATCTCCTATCACACATACACACACAAACACATACACGTTACATCTCATCCAATGTCCCCGTAGTGGGGAGAAGGGCGCCCACTGTATGCCACCATCTCTCATCAGCATATGGTAAAAAGATTTGTGTCAAAGTACATGTATTAATGATTGTTATGACATTTACATTATTGTATATCGTTTATGTCAAAGCGTGTTAAAACGTCAATAGCCTAATGCTTAAGGGGTCGAGGGTCCCGTCATTCGACTATTGTAAACCATGTCCTAGCACAAGCCTAGAACTTAGTTGGAATGGAAAAAACAAATATTAGTAAATTTACAAAAAAAAATTGCTGATTTTTTATAAAAAAAGGGTCTTGACACACAGACGGACGGACAACAAAGTGATCCTATAAGGGTTCCGTTTTTTTCCTAAGATGTACGGAACCCTAAAAATGTAATTATTATTTATCAAATATATTAGGTATTATTATCAATAACCCATTGATAAGACATTGTTTGTCAGTAAAGCATATATCGATATAATTGTGAAAGCCAGCTCTTTATCTTATGTTACTTAAGAAATAAAGTTGTAGTTCAATAAAGAGCTTTATCTTTAGATTTGCATTTGTGGATATTATAAATTTCCTTTGCTTTTATAACTAATGAACATTTATTAAGCTAATTAAATCTCAAGTATACAACAAGACTAGTTGGCGTAATTCTGTTGATATTTTTTTTAATTCTTATTTGCCTCTATTCTGATATTATGGTAAATTATGTTTATCCTAGTTTATGCTATAAAATAAATGTTAATTTTGAATATCATCAGCTCACTATAAGTCCCCACCGAGGTGCTCGGAGCCTACCCTAAGTTAGGGGTGATTAGGTCATAGTCAACCATGCTGGTCCAGGGCGGGTTGGTTGACTTCACACATGTCTCTTATATGTACTATTTTATGTATCTACTGTCCTTAAACTGGATATTTTGAATATATCCAGATTTAATGCAGTCTAATGAAAACAAAATTGTCAAAACAAATGATTTAAATCATTAAAGTTTTTGTTTGTAATTCAATTTGTTGATATATCGAATAAAATTTAATTTATTATTTCCATAATTTTTTTTTATATCATAAAGGGGGAAACGAGCTAGCAGCCAACTGAAATCGCTGAAATAGCGAAGTCACCGTTGCCCATAGACATACGCAATTGCATATGCGTTGCCTACCTTTAATCGACGGAGGAGAGGATGCACAGAAAGAAAATATTTTCTCTTTCCATGCATCCTCTCATCCGGAAAGTGCACTTCCACTTCCCATCCTTTAGTTATAAGAAAAAGGGTGGGAAGGGAAAAAGGACAAAATAAGGCCTCCGGGACGCACACTCATCAGACGCAACGCGGAATTGCTTCCACTTCACGCCTGTCTTCTTTGTGGTAATAATTTCACATATTTATGTTTAAATTTCTTTCCGAAATAGTAAACTGTTGTGTGTAAACGAAATCAGCTTACATTTTAACATTAAATCAAATAAATTCAATCTAATTCTTTTAACAAATTCACCATAGTAATGCTATTTAGGTGAAACTGTTCCAAATGAATGTAATTAAGCCTTGAGATGCGTCCTTTTCTAAATTCAATGCATAATTAATACAATGTAATTACTAGTAATGGATAATGGTTATGAAAAGGGTTTGAATATTAAAGTGTTAGTCTGATATTATGTACAGTAAATTACTTGCTTTTTTGACGTATTATTATTATTATTATTGTATTATTGTTATTATTATTATATTAACCTAATAATATCGAACGATTAAGATAAATTTCTTAGGTGAAAGATGCTCTTTTATACTTTACATTAGTAACTACTTCAACATTACCGGATAAAGTTGTAACTACTTATAAAATTGTAACGTGACAAAATAAATCGTGAACTAATCCAAAAAAATATCTGTAGTTTTTTTTTATTGTCTTGTTTAATAGCTCTTAAAAGTGTCATAATAAATCCAAGATCAAAACAAATAGTATAAGTTAATAAACAAAATTTTTTAATTTGTTCTTTGAAATACGGATTTGAAAATTTATTATTTTTCTGATAATTTATACAAAGCCATTTATTTAAAGCTATTTTTAAATGTAACTTTAATGAAATACATCAAAAGTGTATTTTAATAATTTGATAATTGTACATAAAATATGAATGTATCTTAACGTTGCAACAAAAGAAATTGCTTATTATTATTCTGAGCACGCTGAAAACAATAGAGAGAAGTGTCTTTTTATGCCTTCTTCCCTAATAACAGTATACACTGTGAACAGCATATTGTTATATTCTGGACAGTTATCTGTACTGTCTTCTGGCACCATATCTATACACATAAATAAAATTGAGGTGTCTGTATGTAATATAAAA